CCCAAGTCCTTTCTTCCGTCTCAGCGCTCAAAATATCTGTCCTCCCGAGCTTAATTTTCTGCATATTTGCAGATTCTTCCTCGCTCTTTATTAGCGGACTATTCCGTATCTCTACCTTCATTTTCTCACCGAAGGGCTGCTGAAAGCGTTTTCAGTGACGCAAGGCGGCGATTCCTTAACAAAAAGTTCTAATTAATAAATCTCTACGTAAAATATATTATACAAGGAAGGATGGGGTTCATGGAGTTCTTGCCAACAACTATTTCAATTTATCTTTCAGAATGATGTAAAATTGCTTGTGGACGATTTGATGAGATTGGAAGAGAAAATGCACATGGTACGGCGGGCGTGTCGATTCGAGCCTCACACCTCGGCCACAAGTTGCATGTATAACAGGTGTGAATAATTCATTACTATGCCATCGGAGACAAATCTGAAAGCAGTTGTAGCCGCGGACGTGGTGGCATGGAGGGGGGTGGCTCTGTGCTAGCAACAAGGTCTCTCCCAGTAGGCCGATGTCATAGTTTGCGAATCGAGCGATTCGCTAGCGAATCGCTGGATCCGAGCGTTGCGCCAGCGAATCGAACGTTGCACCAGCGAATCGAACTTTGCGCCAGCGAGTCGAACGATGTACCAGCGACTCGACACTGCTTGAAAGTGGCGGAACCCAACGTTCGAATAGGCTCCGCCGCTTTTAAACAATGTCTTCCTTCGAAATGGACTTCCTTTAGACTTACCAGGAAAGGCATTCAACTTCCCATGGAACTTTGAGATGAGACCCAGATATATCGATAGAGCTTCAAACGCTGATTACAAATATGGAAACTAAAACTGCAAAATGAACCTGCCAAGGAAGTTGTGAGCAGTCAAAGTTGGCTGGAAGTAAAGCATTACACTAGCCTCCGGGCTTTCAAAGTCGCCGCGGAGCAGTGGTGGTGCCCTCGCTATTCACCCTGGAGGTCATAAGCTCTCCTCCCGTCGGAGCGCAAATTCCGAGAGCACTACCACTACTCCACGGCGACTTTGAAAGCCCGGAGGCTAGTGTAATGCTTTACTTCCAGCCAACTTTGACTGCTCACAACTTCCTTGGCAGGTTCATTTTGCAGTTTTAGTTTCCATATTTGTAATCAGCGTTTGAAGCTCTATCGATATATCTGGGTCTCATCTCAAAGTTCCATGGGAAGTTGAATGCCTTTCCTGGTTAGGTCCCGCCACCTTCAAGCACTGTCGAGTCGCTGGCACATAGTTCGACTCGCTGGTGCAACGTTCGTAATTCTTGTTTCCAAAGTTTGCGAACCCAGCATTCGCTAGCGAATCGCTGGATTCGCAAACTATGACATCGGCTTACTGGATTGACGTGCACCCATGGAATTACAATGCTGAATTGTACTTAGATGGCAGATTTACTCTCGTCTAAGCCATCTGTCTTAGTGGCTTGTGGTTTCTAGTTCACGTCTGCACTTTAGTCTTATTTATCAATCCCTTTCTGGAGGGCGCTTCAGGGTTTTACAAGTAAAAGTTCACTAGTCAATGAGCATTCTTCCCGGCGATATCCAGGAGTGGAATGATCGTTGAACACAAAGCGGCCGTTCAGGACTACTCGCGGATAGGGCCATGGGTGAGCGCGTATAGGGCCATGAATGCTTGGGGCTGGAAACGTCATTTTGAAGGCCATAGAAAAAAATCAAACACACTGAGAAGGGATTTTGAACGGTCCAGCATATGTTTTAGCTGTACAGTCGAGCCGTTCTTCGCTTTAGAAAGCCGACGTACAGGTGCTAATTTGTCAGAACTCTCAGGATCGAGTCGTTCTGGTACTAACACGATATTCTATGCTTTGCGGACAATTGCATTATTTGATCACTCACTAGGAAATTCCTCGGCATACACGTCCTCAGATTCCTTTGCAATCTCATGGGCTCTTTAATTCCTGATTACATCAGCTCGAGTAGCCTAGTGGTATTTTTTGACTATAAAAGAAAGAAAGTATGCAACTATTCATCGGTAGCAAAGACTGAATCGTACTTTTCGCCTACGAATAAATCATTGACCAAAAATCTTTCTAAAGCCTCTAAAAGGTGGCTCAGTAAATTTTATACATTTTTTGAGGCCAAGGACGCACATGACGAATTGTTTGCGCTCTTATACCTGTTTTGAAAGCATCCGCTATCATGACTGAATTACGTATAATGAACATCGTTATTAACGCTTGCTTGCTCAGTGACGTGAACCTGAGAAAAGGGGGATTTTAACTCGAGTTGTTCGTGTTATAGCAAATCCAGTGCTGATACTAGCAGTAATAATAGCAGTAATAGCTCGCTGCTATTTAAATGCTATATTATGATAAATTATGTTCTGCATTATCGTATATAAGCGTTTGTATAGTGGGTTCTGCTGCAGAACAAGCACCATTGGAGAGGGAAAAATCTGTTGTTAGGCAGGGCGAGTTAGCCGTCGTCATCCAATTATGGCATTAAGCTGACGAAAGAGTATTCGACAAAAACACCAACACTTTTTATTCAAACCGATGCTAGGCAAAAGACAAAAAGCGAAGTGTTTCAATGCGGCCTTTGTGACATGCAACACACCTCGATTTCGTGCAAGAATCTCAGTGCCGCTTGCCTATGCTCGCCAGCGGAGATAAAAGCACGGTCGAGCAACAAGTGCAAACCTGGTCCGACCGTCTGGCTATGTTCGGCTCAGGTTGAACGTCAAAAAGACAGAGTACTTGACCACCGATTCGAGTGAGCCAGGCTCTATTAAGATCAATGGTACTGAGCTCACACGTACAACAACATTCAAGTATCTTGGATCAGCAATCGCGTCTGACAGCCTGGTCTTTGAAACGAATTCTCGCGTGAATGCAGCCTGGTCGAAATGGCGCTCGATGACTGGCGTTCTCTGCGACAAGAACATACCAGAGTGCTGGTCTGCAACTAAAGAAGTTGAAGCCGTCTCAGTGTGATGGAGACAAAGATGCTGCGTTGGACAGCCGGAGTCACACGACTAGACCACATTCGAAACGATGTCATCAGAGAGCGATTCGGTGTGGCTCCGATTGTCGACAAGATGCGCGAAGCCGTCTTCGATGGTACAGTCATGTTCTTCGCGCGGAAGATGAGCTTCAGCTTTAACGTGCTCGGGAAGTGACCTAAGGAACGCCCTGGAGCAACGCTGGTGCACACAGACTTGAAGTCGGTTAACATCCACCCCGACCAAGCATTTAATCGGGAAAAGTGGCGTCAGCATATCAGAAAAGCGGACCCCGCCAAAAGCGGGACATGCTAAAGAATGAGAAGAAGAGTCTTAGTGCCGCTTGAATACTAGCTCAGAATATTGACTAGCTTGGCCCGCGGGGCAAGCCTTTGTACACGTCATAGGTTCTGTCTTCCGGAGCACGTCCTATACCGTCCAATCGGCCCCGTAAGAGCTAAATGTCTTGAAGCTAAAGGAATCTTCCACGGAAAAAGCTCCGCCCTCATTACCACAGAAAACGATACCTTAAAGGAATCTTCCACGGAAAGAGTGATCATTTTGTCTTGTGTGTAGGATTAGTATTATCGAAACTAACGCTTATGTTCCGTTCTTTTTGCTATGCTCATGAGGCTAGGGGCCTAAGGGGTATCGTTTTTCTGTGGTAATGGAGGCGGAGCTTTTTCCGCGGAAGATTCCTTTAAGCAAAATTCAATACGGGGCACCATTTCTGCAGCAAATCTTTTTCGTTTACCGCTCTTCACATAACAACATAATCGCAATATTTGCAGGTGTCTCTTCGATGATTACGAGTGGATGCGAGAAAACTCACAACCATTGGTATGTTATTTTGGGCTTGAGGGGTGCTAGATGCTTCACAGAAACCGAAATTAAATTTTTTTACACATGCTTTATAAACTGACTTTTTCACTTGAATCTTATAAACAAACTAGCTTCATTTAATTATTCACATTCGTCGGAAATGCGCAATTCTGGTCTTTGAAGCTGCACTTTGATGTGAAATTCTAATTTTGATGGGTAATGGAAATAGGATCTAGTGGCAATTTGTCCCGTTGTCTCATTTCTTCTCCACACAAGTTTAAAAGATACGTTTAACTTCATAATGTTTGCATGATTTTATTTTTTCGTTTTAATTATTTACATTTTAGTTTTAACTTTGGTTTTTTTTCTCGATAAAATCTACTGAAATGTATATCCATGTCTTCACCTCATTTGTATAAAGCTTCTGAGAAGCGCTTATCTCACAGCTTCGTTAGCATTTCGGCGCTTTCCCAGTAAAGCGGGGGAGGTTGGTGAGAAAGGCTCGAAAAAAATTATTTTTTTGCATCAAAAATGTTCTGAAAAGATGATACACTCCTAGCTTTTTTGCATAGGGATTTGGTTCGCCTCCCGGATGTTTCCTGACCCATGCAAAATTGGCGATTATTGCAGTAAACTAATAGGTCGTGCGAAATGTCTGGACCTTTTTTATTTCATGGCATGAAAAATTCCACAAAGATCTTGGAGACTTGAAACATGGCTTGCTTCGTAGCAACCACTTTGGCTACTCTGGAAAGATAATCAGCTAATTGGCCCATCGGCTTCCGTGGCCAAGACTTTAATTTTTCTGGAAGCTATTCCAGCTAACAGAGCCGCATTGCGAAGTTGGGATCCTTCTTTATTTATTGGCGGCCCATCGGACCAATACTTCCATATTCCTGTGCAAGGGCCGCACCAGTTTATCCTCAGGCATGCCTCTGAGCATAGAGCTAGTGGAATCCTCCAATCCTTTCATCTCAGTACAGATCACTCCAAACTGCTTTTCAGATTCGTTGGGAGTTTACCTTCTAGGATTACCTGAACTACCAAACAGGACGGGGTTTTGAGAATATCCTTCTGACATCATCGCTCTCTTATATTGCATCTCCTGCTTTTATTGTTAAGAGTTTTTCAAATAAAAATAGCACATTTCATTCATACTTTTGAGCCCCTAAAATATAATTTTTTTTAACAGATTAGGCTCCGTATAAGCCAACTGAACACTTCGTCTTATCTTTTTTTTTCTGATTGACTACATTTAGTCGTTCTGCTACCTTTTGTGGCCACTCAACTGATATTACAGCATACTACAACACTACCATCCCAATGCACTCTTGAATCACTGCGTTTATGGTTTGTTCGCGATTTGTCGTTGATGATGGAATGGGGCAAATGTTTACCTATTATGGATCGTCTTCTTCTTAATGATAAGGTAATACAACGTTTTGGCCCCAATATAAGTGGAAGGACGACAAAGTTTGTTTAGCTGGCGTTGATGAAGGCTTTTGCACCGATATTTCCGCTGCTTCAGCTAGCATACTATACGACTTCACCAGAAGACAATGGCATAGTTATCAGTAAGTTAAAATGATTATCAGTCAGATATTTTACCCAATCAAGTTAGGGGGCATGGAAATCACACTTACGGCATGATTATCCCTATGCCTAAAATGGATCCGTCTAATTTTGCAGCAGGTTTCATAGAGGCCCATTTGGTCATGCAATTGTTTGAACAGTCATTCCCGAGAATAAAGTGGCTGATTTCGCCAGAGTTATTTATTTGTTTTTAATACGTCCAGTGGACACGATTGGTAGACGTATAACATATGGTTCAAATAGAAACACAACAAATTTGTGAAGAATCTCTAGTTCAAATGAAATATTCAGAGCAAGAACCCGATTGTGAACAGGTGACGATTGACCGGCTGAATTATCCCGATGGCACGTTTATTGAGAAGGTTAACGACATCAACCACACGTAAGAGCAGCATGTTATGAATTTTTTCAAACGACTAGTTTTTTCATGATTGCTCTACAAATAGAAACATTCTGAGGAAGTTTCAGTGAAGAGATGTACACCATCCTGATCGAAGGATGCTTCAAGCTTATGCGACGTCTACAGATCAAGCAACACCATATCGTTCTCTATAAAATGCTTCTACTACATAATCCAGGCGAGTTGAACGCTTTTTGCTTGGTCATATTTTTATCTTATGCACATATTTTTCAATGAAGAACATTATTTTCCCAAAAACAGCGGTCGTTCGAGGATTAGATTTAGCTCAACGCTCAGGCAGCATTTTGATGCAGAGTTTTTAGGTTCTGGTGCTCCTGCCTAAGTGTGCCATTGCTGCATTTGTATATTCTCTGCTAACTGGGAAAGTTAGTTTTGGATAGATCCCGGGTTTCGCGACGCTCTTTCTTCAACCTGCTAACATTCAGACTTTGTTCTTTTGACATACACGAGATCTGGCCTTTTGTATCGTGCTTAAGGCAGTGATTACGATAGATTCAAGAAAGGTTTATAGGAGACTGGTGGTGCTCAATGGTACGCCAGTGGCGAAAAAAGCGGAGAAATCCGTCAAGAAAACGCAAAACGGGACCCCCTTTTTTGGCCGTTGGTTTTCACTCGTAACAGCTCAGAAAGCGGACGTATGAACGAGTTCATCGCAACGCGTTTGGTGGCACCATGCCAAACCATGCTTTAATCGAGATGCTCCAGTTGTGCCGCTGCTGGCAACGCAGCTCGTCCAAATCACAAGTAAACTAGTGGGCGGATCGCTTTTGGGGGCGGAGTGCTTTCGAAGTCCTGCTCAGCAACCAGCGCACCTTCGTCGTGAAAGCGCTACATCTCGCTTCCCTGGCAGCCAAGTAACTGATTCGTGTGGTGCATATGCTTCCCGATGCGCTCCCACTTTATCGT